AAGTGAAAAGCACAAGAAATGTTTACCAGAAAATAGTGCAAAGTTTTCCTTTTTATTTTCCTGTTTTCTCTTTGGTAAGAGGAAAAAGTGAGAAAATACCAGCACGTTGAATTGAATTTAACGTGAAATGCAATGAAATGTAATGAAATTTTCGCCGTCAGTAGTCTCAAGCGTGCTCAAATAAATGAACTGACTATGTCCATAAGCAAAAGGCTCAAAATACAAATATAATCTTAAATATCCACCATTAACTGCACTAATTCACATAATATATACCTTATATAGCTGAATATATAACCAATAGTTCACAGATAAAATATCATCATCTAATCATCAATCAAGATACATTTTCAATTTTTAGTTTTGTTGACTTGATATGCATTCTTAGACAAAATTCCACCTTCGAAAATATTTCCGAAATTTTTGGAATGCTGAGAATTATTGAAGCTAGCTGCAAAACTTATTACCAAACAAGTACGAAAATCGAATGGAATGGAATATTTATTGCCCTTATTAGTGAGTCGATTGAAAAATTTTCTGCTCTCGAAATTCAATCTGAAGCGCTTCAATTCGCTGGCTGACTGCCTGGCCGCCCTTGTTCACCACACTCCACACCCCTCCCCAGCTCACCACCCTCTCAGTATCAATAGTAAGTGGTAGTCGTAGTTAGAGCCCTGTTGAACGAGGTCTAAGGTACAAGAGACTGCCAAACAATTCATCTTTTCACAAGCGAATATTTCACTCACCGCATTCGTTTTATTTTCAATGCCAATTTTTGGCATGCAGCTAAAGGTGGCACTTTATGAAATTCTCTCGATTGCCAGCCGGTTGCAGCTTGTTTCGTCTCATTTGCACTCCCATTTTTATTTGCCACTTTTCCTATTCCCTTCCCCTTTCCTGCTTCTTACATCTATTTACCCACCTGTTTTCCTTGTTAAGAAGTTTGTTGTTTGCTTTCACATTGGCATTTGTACAGTGTGTATTTGTTTTCAATTTAAACAGCTCCTGCCCTGAGCTGCCAATGCTTTTATCAAGTGCTTTTGTTCGTCTTGTTTGCAACAGCGTACAAAAACGGTACTCAGGCGTATAACAGTTGCCACGTGGCGTATGTGTAATAAGGCATATCACAATTTGCTATTACAGCTGCATTATTACCTTTTATCGTATTTTTTCCATTACAATTTTCCTCTCACATTGCGCAAGCAAGTCGTAAATAAATGCCACAATAATAAAATTGCATTTTTCTCTCTTTGTATTTACCTCCAATGTTAATTCTATCGATTCTCTGAGTTTCTCTTCCACGCCAAGAGCAATTAAGCGAAAGCAAAAGCAAATGCTTGACCTCCTGTAAATATATACAACTTATGCTAACAACAATCTTCAGCTGCACAGTAACAGCAACAAGCAAACAAATACAACAATTATTTACCCATCACCGAAGCAAAAATACACTTGGTGAAATTTTAATTAAAATACGTATGTTATTAGTAAGTACCGAAATATGCATTTTAGCCATATACATTTTGCTTGGCACTCTGCAATTAATCAAATCTCTTTAAGTCACAGCAGAAACGTGAACAACCCATGTATTTTATGAAGATTTATTTTCGGAAAATAATGGTCTCAAAAAGTTTGAGCACGTTGACGTTTGAATTCGGCGACTACTTTGTTATCGGATACGCATAATTTTTGGCATGTGGCAAACTTTACGCCAAAGTTGTTATAACTGACGTGCAAGTGTATCAAAAATAACACATAGTCCAGAGTGGGCGGGCCAGTTGGCCAGACAAATAAACAGACCTGAGTGCCGGACTGAAGTACCCGCAGCCACTCCGCAGCCCTTCCCACTTCCCCCTTCCCGACCGTTGTCAGTTGCAGTTGTAGCTTTTGCATGTGGCGTGTATGTGTGAGTGTGGATGATATGTCATAACAGACATTAGCATGTGTTTGTAAAAAATAGTTTGCGAAAATGCGAATATGTCTTGTGACCCCCAAGTTGCACTGACTTTGCGTGTGAGTGTGTGTCTCATGCAGACTGTCTGCGTATTTCCGGTGTGTTTGTGTGTTCACCTAATTACATTCCGGATATAAAATGTTGACTGATTGTGCCAATAAATGAAAATAATGACGTAGCCATTGACTGCAAACTCGCAAGACGACGGAAGCGGCAAAACTGGCAAACGTCGGCATCAAGCTGAACTCAGCCGACAAACTTTTTGCTCGCACAATGACTACAAGACCCGACCATTACCCCTCCTCATCCCATCACCCCTTAGCTATCCACTTGTTTAGGAATGTAACTTTTGTGCTGCTCTTTGGCTGTGTGCGCCGTTAAAACACAAACTCTTGACGAGTTTATTTCCCCACGCAGTCGCTAACTGATTGTCTGTGATTTTCTTGTTTTTAGATAATGAAAGCACACACACATACGCACACTGATAGACATTATTTGTGTGAGTATATAAAAGTAAGAGTTGGCCAGAATGTTTGCTTTTTATGTGCCTTCAGCTTGAAATTGTGGCCCATTTATTTGGTAATGCCCAAAAAAAGAGAGAAAAAAATTACTTTTGACGAAATTAATCTGCTGCTTTTAGGTTTTCGCGCAATAGCTAATAAATGATAGATCAGCCTCAAGCAGATTTATAAAGCTGGCAAAACTTTCCTTTTTTGGCATGTCAGTTGCAGCTTCTGCTCACGCAAAAATGCTTTTTAATATTTTAAGTAGCACATGGCGTCGGAACTGTGTCAATTTGTTAGCCAAAATGTAGCTGCAGGCCAAAAACTGGCAGTCCCTAAAAAGTATGCTAAGTATTTAGCCATTCGGCTTATGTTTCAGACTATGCATGTTGGACACAATGAAGAGAAGAAGCCTGATTCAAGGTGCAGTTAGACGATGGGACTTAAACAAACTTGGCCCTTTACTAATTTCAGCACAATAACCCAAATTAAAGCGGTTTTTGGGTTTTGTTTGCAGAAATCCAAAACACGAAAAGCCACGAACAGCTCCAAACAGAGAGAGAAAAGACTCGAAACCGGAAATCAGAGAAGACCTAAGTCAAATTTATGGCGACTTGAACAGCGCAGAAGCGTGAGAGCTGCAAAGAGATTTAGAGAGAATATATGCGAGAGAGTGACTGAGAGAATAGGCTTAAATGAGAGTTGTGTGTGCGTTTCAAAATGTTTGCTATAAAAGTGTAACAGCTGTTTTTATTGTCATCAAGCGCAGTATCAATTAAATGAACTCAAAATATCTCACAAGTAGTTGCTCAAATCAATGAACAATTTAAGCTACTCGCCAATAATAAATATATTTGATTATTAATAAAATAGAAACTACTTATTTGATTAGGTATAAGTGCTCAGAGGGCTTAAGAGAATAGAAAAAATTAAAACCATATTTATGATTATGTTATATACAAAAAAATATACAATTCTGAAGCAGTTATTGGTCAAATAATTTTATAAATTATGAGCAAGCACAATAGATACGATTAAAACAAATGAATTAAATTAATTTGGTTGATAGTCATGTTTTTCGGTCTAAAATGTATCTGCCGTGATTATAAGTATTGTAATCCATATGCGATATGCCGCCAAATAAGCGCTTGCTCCATCAGATGTTTGTCAAACTTTTCTTCCATGGACCAATTTCACGCAGTTTGTGCGCAACGATGTGAAGCTGCCATAAATCGAGAGACAACAACAAACAAGCGCCGAGGGAAAGAGAGAGAAACAGAGAGAGAGGAAGAGAGAAATAGAGAGAGAGAGACTTTGTGGCTGATACTGCTGTCGACGCAGACGTTGACGTCAACGTTGCTGCCTGTGCAGACGCAGACTTTAGCTAGTCATTATGGTATTTGCCGCTTCTGCTGCTGCTGCTTGTGCTGCTTGTGCTGCTGCCTCTGCCGTTGTGGCGCTGTTGGTGTCGTGTCCGTATCCTCGCCAAAGCAAGTCGCCATTGCCAGTCGCTTGCGAAAGCGTAAAGTAAACAGACTAGCGTCGTCCGAGCATGCAGAAGCAGCTGCGCTCCGAAGTTTGCAAGCGTCACCAACGACAGGCACAACAAAAGCAGCAACAACAACAGCAACAACGACAACGAAAACGACATCGACATCGACAACAACGAGAAGTCGCACGAGCGAGCTGTACAAGTGGCGCAGCTAGTGGCTGCGACGCCAGCAGCGACGCCTTTTATCGGTTATACGCTGCCAGGCTGCCTGCTTGCCTGCTTGCCTCTGCCTGGCTGCCGCTTGCCACATCCTTTGACGGCGCATGCAGTCAGTTAATTTCTGACCACAGCGGCAACGCGTTGCGTTCTCTCCACCGTGCAACGAATCGTGTTTCCTCTTGTTGTCCTTTATTGTTGTCAACTCAAACCAACCAACAACAAACTTAAATAAGTGCGAACTGTATTAACGGGACGTATACGCAATGCGCAATTTTTACAATTCACATTTAAACGGAAACATTGTGCCCCTTGGCCTAACGCATCCCACATAAAATATTTATGAGTGAATCAGATGAAAATTAAAAGTCCACAATTGGAGGCAATTGCCTCGGGCAACACGTGTGGCAAGCAAAGGTCAAATTAACATTTCCAAATCAAGTGCTCCAAATCGAAAAGTGAAAGCCTAACGCACAAAATTTGTGCAAAAAGCTGCTTTGCATTAAAGTTGGCCATTTTTTGTTCTATAATATCAATTAATTAAAACGACAAATTGCTCAAAAACAACTCAATCAAATTGTAGACAAATAGTTAACGATTTAATTAAATTGAGAAATTCAAAAGTTAATTTAACTCATAGATATAAGAGCAATAAGTGTGTGTGTGTGTGTGTGAGTGTGAGAGTGTGTGAGTGTGAGAGAATTCAATTGAAATGACAGTGACAAAAGAATTAAATTACACGTTGATAGATTGATTTACATATTGAAAACAATTAAAAGTGAAGTGTATACAAAACATAAAGGAGAGTAGCAACAACAACAACAAAAACAACAACAACAACAACAGCAACTTAAACAGCAACAACAACAACATCAGCGATAGCAAAATGCCGGCATCAATTGGATTATATCGCATCAAGCACGGGCGTGTACTTGGCAGTGTGCAAAAAAAGTCGGCACTTATTTTTATAGCATATATTGCGGCATGCAGCACTTGTGGTAAATATAACACACTTACACTCAAGTCCACAGCCCTAAGCTGATTGCTCAATAATAAATGGAAAGAGTAGCAAAACACAAATATAAACCGGGAAAAGCGAGGAAGAACTAAAGTAAAAATCCATTCATTTCGCATTCAAAACAATTATGACATTTGAAATTTCCATTATGTTCTCTCGATTATCTTTGGGCAGCAAACACGTACGCATAATAAAACTTCTGAGGAATATTCGAAAAGTTGTCAAATGTCGAGCAGCAAAACAGGCAGCCACACAAAAAATATCATGCATATATTTCAAGGATTCGACCAAACGCAATCATTAAATTATTAAAAATACTTGAATATTGAATTTTCAGTACATTTTCATATTCGTATAGCAGCAATAATGTGTAAAATGGGAAAATAGTTTTCAACTTTGACATTCTACATATGTAGTACATATATTCTGATATATATTTAATGGTTACTTTAAATTTGATTAACGGCACAAAACACTTTGACATTCTACATTTCTTTCCTACTACATATATAGATAACATATACATAACTCATGTTTTATTATCGATGCAAGTCGTTTATGCAAGTGTTAGACTTCTCCTTTTTTATCCCCATTGAATTGCAAAATTATAATGGTAAGAATATACAGTTCTCTTACCTAAGGATATGGGTCAATCGCAGCTGGTTTATGCATGGAGACCAACAACTTTCGTCAACTGCAGTTGCAGTGTGAACTTTGGCGAGACGTCTCAGAAAGCATTTGTCCAAGAGCAAAAATTGCCACTAATTTTATACTTTCTAGTTGTCATTAATTTGCGTGAGTGTTCATCCAAAATGTCAATGGTTTCTATTGGTAGTGACTAAATCTACGATTCATAGCTATAATTTTAAGTGAGAATATTTTTCGATTTTACGACCCAAAAAAATATAAACCATTTAAAGTGACGCAAAGCGTACATAATAAAAAACAGATGTTGGAAAATGCATTTTTGCTTATATTATTTATTGAAAGGCAACACCTTTTTGTTATGCTGACTCCGGATAAATGGCAATATGGGCATACCGTAAATATACCGTAAATATGTAATATTTTATTGGCAATGTCGCTCTTACTGACAGGTCAGCGATAGCGCGGAAATCGTGCATCACTTGTCAATGTCTGACAGAGCACCAACAATCGAATACAAGTGTGAACACTTGTCTGCAGGGCAAACGGTGCCGTGCCCCTGTCGGTGCCTCTATCCCACTGTCGTCTGCTGCTGTTGGCAATTTGTCAAGCAATCAACAAAGCCAGAAATTGCCCCAGCTCTTGTGACTAGAGGCAAGCTGGGAAGGAGGAGAAGGGAGCATGGACTATAGCCCCAAGGTGCCGTCGCTTTGCGAATGTTTGTTGCCAAATCATTGAAACAAATGAAAGCAAAGTGGTGAAGGAAAAACCGATCAAAGAGCACAAATACACACATGTGCATGTGGGTTGTATATGTATGTGTCTGCTGAGCCTTAACAACTAGAACAGATTGTGAAGCTAGCGCATCTACAGAAGCCATATACAGCCGTTGCTGTGCGTGCAACAGCAGCCCACAGACCACGCCCCCTTTGGGCCACAAAACGGTCTGTGAAATCATCAAATAAAGCGACCCAGTTGCTGGCCCTGGAGCTGTGCACTTCTGGCACATCTAGCACATCCATTGTTGCATGTGTTATGCCAACTTCTATGTTGCTTGCTTTTTGGGTTACACACACAAACAAACACGCTCGCACACTTCAACTGTCACTGTCAATGTTGTAATATGAAATTCTGAGAAGAAAAAAAATAAAAATGACGAAACAACAAAGCGAACATGGGCTTAGTTCATAAAATACAATTCTGCTGTGCTTGCATTTTTTTTTTCTTCATTTTTATTTTGCCTTTATATTCGGAGCACATTTATATTTAGCCCCGGCACACGGCTCGCATATCAATATTTATGCATGTCAGGAGTCGAGGCTTTCGAAGGACATCTAGAAATGCAGCGTGGTTTGCCGTTGGCCTTACACGCAAACACACACAAATGCATTTTATTCAGCTCGAATCTGCAGCTCGATGAACATAAACATTTGCATAATTCAGACGTAAAAAATACATGTTTAAAAACATAGAAAATATGATATCAGATATCAGGCATTATAATACACAGCCCAAATACCCTGGCGATTGGCTGCTACATGTTTTATTTGTATTATTAGAACAACTTTTGATTTGTATTTGTAGAGCATATGCTTGTTGCGACAAATGCAAATTTTGTATTATATTGCAGCACTCGAACCCATTGGGTGTTTTAAAATTCATACTATCATAATTTACACTTCTGTGTTATATTTTTAGCTACTTTAATTTATGTTAGAGTACATTTTACTTATGTTTTCAATCGAGTCCATGACAAAAACAAGGTGTCCAACTACAAAAGAATGACCAGCTGAAAATATACGGGAAAAATGTGTATTTACATATTTTTATTTCATATCGTTCACTAAGAAAAATATTATGATTAAATTATGTTGTTTGGGTGGGTGAAAAAATCGACGTTCACCAGTGCAATTTTTAATAATTGAAAACGAAAATTCTATAATAAAAAATAAAAAATGCTTCAGGCGATTATTTATTCTATGTTTAACAATGAGATGGAAATTCTAAGAAAATATGCTGAATGTATAAGCACGTTTACTCACGATTCAGATACGTCTTGCCAAAATGGGTAAGGCAGTGTAAATTTGTCGAGCCGCAGACGTTTTGCCAAGCACTTGATGGCTTCAGAAATGTAGCCAGGTCAACAGTCTGAATGCCATATAGACAGTCTGAATGCAATTCAGATACCTAAAAATGTTGTTGGTCTATCTTTTTGCTTTTGTACAAGCGGTCAACAAACCGCCTTGCTAAAAAATTGCAAAAAAAAATGCATCAGCTATCAACATCGTTTTTAGATGTATCCAGTACGCAGAGACTAGTTGGCCACTTTTCGGATGAATTTACAGTAAATGGGTGTGTAAATTGATCTTGCTCGATTGCTTAATTGCCACAATTCCAAGTTTACCCCCTGGGGCGTATACGTAATATGAGCTGCGCATTTCAATTGGGCTTGAATTGATGCCTTAATTGATGCGAACGAAAGAAGCAAAAAGAAATTTGTAAAGCGCATTTCCTTAATAGGATAAACCATAAGGATGTTGCAACAAGGGTCTGCACGTAGCCCGTAGCCGTACTTCAATATTTCTTCATTTCAAGCGTAATAATTTTAAATAAACTCAAGTCAGCCTGTCAGCAGCCAGGCAGCTAGCAGCCTCCGCATGGGTCAAGGTCTACAAGAAGGGCTTACACCCGTTAACCCACACACACGCACACCCAATGTAATAGCGCGCTGGCAAGAATAATTTAATATTACTCACACACACGCAATACACGGAACCAGTTGTAGCTCGCCAACACAGCCATAAAGTTTACCTGTTACAAATGCAACGACACGTGGGCGCTGCTGCGGCAGTGGCAGCCATAATAATCAGCACAAAAACTAATGGTCGCACACGCTCACGCATACATCCACACACACTTACACACACACACACACTTAGATAGACTTACATGTGCTGCCTCGGTGCTGAGCCTGCACTTTCGACACCATTGCATGTGAGTCTGGGGTCGCTGAATGCCCGTAAATTCGACATAATTCAAGGGCTGGCGTCACCTTCTGGCAACACGGTTACGACGTGCTGTGAACGCGAGCACGGATTGAGATTTGCAGATGCGATAAAAGGGTATCGAACAGGCTTAGTAAAAAAGTAGGGAAACTGTATGCAATACGGGAAACGAAGAACATTCAAAATATAATACACATATATTCCTTCGGCATCAATTTATTTGCGTCTCCCAAAGTGACCGCATATGTCACAGATTGCAGCTCATATAATGTCTACTTAATAATCAAACTGTATAATCTGTATTACTGTATAATCGACATGCTGAGTAAATCCTTAAAAAAAAAATAAGGAAAGATATCTGGAGTAATATTGTTTGCTTAAATATTTTAAAGGTATTGTTTGGTATTCCTCTGGTCGCACTGCAAAACTGTCAAACTGATTGCCGTTGATTTTTGTTCGTGGTAAATATACAAGTTACTACTTGGTGTTGCATTTATAATTCTTATATTAATCTGGGCGTGTTTAAGTAATTTATGTGGCTTCAGTAAGGAGTTAGAAGCGAACACAAAATACAACTTGAATTGGGTGGGTTTCCGATTATTTTTTTATTTTATTATTCCGCAAGTCATGCAAATCCAAAAAAAAGAGTCAAGTTACCTGGGCTCTGACAGGCACTTCAACTTTGACTGCTTAGCCTATATGCAAATGATTCTTATGATTTACCAACTTTTACTTTTTCTTTCGTTTAGTATTTTTCGATTTTTGTTTCTTCTATTCTTCGGTTTCAACTTTGAGCCTCATCATCGTTATGGTGTGATGATGACAATGATAATGCTGCTGATGACGTGCATAGTTAGACGAGATGTCTGCTAACGAGCTGCTTTGCGGACAACTTTGACAAGTGGTTGTTGCAGCTGTTTCCCCAAAACAACATCAACACCACCCGAAACCCTTTTCCAGCATACCCTTTAATTATTAGTCCGATTGTCTAGAGGTTGGGTTTTTGTGCGCACTTTATTTACGCCGTTAATTGGACTGAATTCGGGGCGCTTGATTTTATTTGTGTGTTTCATGTCACTCTTGACGTTCTGTTTTCTTAAAAAGACAGACGACTCACCAAAATAAAAACGAAATAAATAAATAAAACAAGAATATCCGAAACAAAATCCCGCTGACACAATTTCATTACGGAACTTGTCAGCGTAGAAAAAAAATACAAGACGAAGCAGAGAATTTGCCTATCATTTGTCTCGGCAGCTCACAACTCGAAACGGGGAAAGTCGAGCTGGAAGACTGGCAGCTCGCAACTCGCAGCACGCAGAAATTGAAA